ATAAAATTCTGCTTAAAAACTATTGAAATACATGGAGTCAAAAATCAAGGAAATAAAAATCTTCTCTGAAGAATAATATTTACTGCTTGATGCACAAGTTTATTGTTTTTACGAGAATACTTAGTATGTATTAATTTTTGATCGTACACACCTTAATAGCTTTTTTCAGAGAATTTAGTGTTTTTTTCAAATGACAAGATCAAATGTTACACGTTATGAAGCAAAAATTCAAGGTCTCCTACTTATGTCCTAATAAAAAAACGAAGTATCAAGAAACCATTACGTTTTATACACCGCTTAATATTTGATATTTTTTATTTCAAACATTTTTTATACAATAAATAGTTTAGAAATAAATTTTGGTGGTATTGTTAAAAGTCTCACCTTGTACAAGAGCGTTCAGAAAGTTCCCGGAAAATATAAATAAGAAGACAAAATTGAGTTAAGTAAGTACGTACGAGTTTTGTTTTTCATTATATATTCCACTGAAGTTAAATATGAATATTTGATAAAAATAGCCTTAACAAACTTACGCTTACATCAATTAAATATAAATATAACATTTTGTTTATTAATATTAAGCATTTTTTGAAAATTTTAAACGGAGTTACATTTGTGCGCACGCCTTCCTATCAAATTTTACAATATAAATATCTATACTATGACAAATTAAATTAAACATTAATTTTTCAAAAGTATTTGTATTCTGTATATTATTAGTTTATTGTAAAGCAATAAATAATAATGTAAAATTATGCAGAAAATAATGATAAAAAGATTTTGCCTAAACAATTATTAAAATTAATTAATGTATTTATATAATGAGCACGTGTATAAAATAGAAAATGACGTGTCAATATTTCTAAATTTCATTTTGTTTATATAAAAAATGTAAATATATTATATTAACTATACGAATCATATTGTTGTGAAAAAATATGAAAACTAATTTATAATTGACAATAATTGATGATTGTTTATATTTCCCTTATAAGACAGAAGGTGTCGCCACCGTCTTTGATACATAAAGAATTTATTGTCCATACTTCTATTATGTAGTAGTTCATGCCATTTCATGTTACATATCCACTTCTCTTAACCTTTTCCTTCTTTTTAGAACAGAGTCTGAAACGTGTTCACGTTCTTTTCACGAATCGTATTTCATCTGTGTACAGTTTTTAATATTTTTGCACAGTACTAACCAAAATGCCTCCTAAATTTGATCCTAATGAAATTAAGAAAGGTATTTTTTTTATTTGAAATAATTTTATATGAAATAATGGATTTATTTCTTATATATTTGTATCTCAACAGTTTACTTGCGATGCGTGGGTGGTGAAGTAGGTGCAACCTCTTCTCTTGCCCCAAAAATTGGTCCTCTTGGTCTAGTAAGTTCAATAAAATTTTAATAAATATCTACCATTTGATATCTTCTGGCTATTTCAATGTTATTCGTTTTAAAATTTTAGTTGTTTAATCCCATTTTTCGTCTAAGTATCATTTAGACAATTTTTCTTAATATTAACGAAATTACTTTGTTATTTACAGTCGCCAAAGAAAGTTGGTGATGATATTGCTAAAGCTACTAGTGACTGGAAAGGTTTGAAGATCACAGTACAATTGACAATTCAGAATAGGCAAGCTACTATTTCAGTAGTACCATCTGCAGCTTCCTTAATAATTAAAGCCTTGAAGGAACCTCCAAGAGATCGTAAAAGGCAGAAGAATATTAAACACAGTGGAAATTTAGGATTTGATGATATTGTTACCATTGCTAGGACAATGAGACCAAGATCTATGTCAAAATACCTTAGCGGTACTGTCAAGGAAATTCTTGGAACATGCCAATCAGTTGGTTGTACGGTGGAAGGCAGACCACCGCGTGACCTTATAGACGATATTAATGCTGGAGAATTACAAGTTCCTGACGAGTGATATGGTAGGTTTAGAGCTCATTGCTAACTTTTCATCATAATATTGGGTAACTTAAACAAGTTATATAATTACAAGCAATGATATTATGGTGACAAGTATATGCTTTGAGCTCTTGGTAGGGGTTAGCATCCCATCCACCTGATTAGTTATAATTATGCTATGCATTGTTATATACTATCAGGGACATAGCTACTGAGGAGAAAACCTCAATAATAAATCATGAAGTAATATGTAATACATATGTAATAGTTAACTTAAGAGTTTTGTATTTCCATTGTTTCAGATTTTTCATAAGCTGCAATAAATACAATTGTTTCAAAATAATAAATGTTATACTCTCATATAAATTAATTTCCTTCCTTTCAACTAATGAAAAAGACATCTTAATGTACAAATAAAGTCACATGTGTTTTTAATATACTTCAAGATTCATCATATCTACTCATTTCTTAAATATTAATGACTATTACGAAATCACGATTAATAACTATAATTTTGTTTTGAGATTAATCTTAAGTTACTAAATTAAAGAATTTTGTCCGCATATTTTACTTATATCTACTATAGTGTCTTTTATTTTAAATAAAATTTTATATTAAAAATACATTCTGTGACAATTCATTACTATTTAATACTAGGTGTATAAAGAATAAGAACTGTTTAAATGAAATGGATCGAATTCCAAGTTTCAATAACTAAGGATATAATTTTGGAAGAATTACAATTTTGTCTTATAAGCATTGTTATATGTACTGTTAAATAAGATGTATTTATATATTACAAAATTCAATTATAAAATTACAAATATGTTAATGACTCTACAAATTAACAGCTTTTGATGTATAGAATCTTACAATTTACTTATTTTTTAATTCTTAATGCATTGAGCTCATGTACCACTAATTAAAATGAAAGTACATTTATATGTATATGTATCACTGTAGATTGTGAAATAAATGTAATCAAAACAAAACAGTACTGGAAAGAATTATAATACAGAAAGTCATTTTTTTTTATAAGTTGCAGGCAATAGTAATTTATTGTCCTAAAACATGACCTCTTCCCCAATTATGACCAAACATGTCTCTGTTAGATTGTGCTCTTTGAGCCGGAGGTACTCCAAACCATCTAATTCCACCTCTTTGGGGTGGGAAATAGGATTCCAATATTTTTGGAGTATTCAATAATTCTGGACCGCCAAGTTCTTGAGGATACTTGAACTTTAAAAATACATAAAGGTGTCCAACTAGAATACCAAAAAGTTCCATCATGCCACCTCCAGAAATAATGAGATTAAATGCGAACAGTACCCATGGCAAATACATTGCTTTAAATTGTGTACCTGTTGATTTATTAAACAAAAAAAAATATTATTTAAAATTTTATTAGATTTATGATACCAAAGTATTTGAAATTAAGTTTTTTTTACTATGAAGAACACATACCGAACCAGAAATTAACAATAACATCTTTATTTAACTGACACCAGACATATAATACACTGAGTACCATAGGATCCATAAGGATAGAGATTTCACAAATAAGTCCTATGATAACGCACAATATCCAATTGAATAAAAGTAAGAAACAATAATCTCCAGGTCTTCCAGCATATTCTCCGCGTTCTAACTTCAATGAATAATTATACAAAAAGTAACAATTAATTAAGAAATGGAATCCTGTTCGTGGATTGAGGGGATAGAAAAAAACGCTGGTCACTGCTCTCCATATTTCGAAATTATTTACAAAATCATTATACGTGAGTATCAACGATCGTGGCCCAATGAGTCCAAATCTACCGATTAATGTGAAGAAAGCTGTACATAACAGCCAATGTCTTGTGAAAAATGGTAAAGAATTAAACCAATCTCTTACATCCGACATTATTCTTTTCTCACTGTAGTTAACGCAAAACTTTAATGAACATAAATGAATTTTGACTGTCAATAACAACGTCTGACGTGTGATTACTCAGTGACTAATGTACTTCGTACAGATTAGGTTAGAAACTCTCGGATCAAACATGGAGTCGTAACGTACCGTTCCATTTCACATAAGTATATCTAATAATCATAATCAACTTTCTGTGTCCTCTAAAATTGTTTACAGAAGAATTATAAAATAAAACAACAAAATTTCAGTGTAAGAATACGCAAACGATTATTAAGAACGAATGCTTAATTAAAAAATGTTATAAGAATAATATATAATAAACTTAATCCACAATATTATTATATTTGTACTTGTGTAAAAAAAATTAATACAACACATTGTTTACAAATGATTTTTTTTAAGATTTTTTATATATTACTCTTATAACACATACAATGTAAAATTATATGTCTTTACTTTAACATTTAAAAGGGTTACGAAATATATATGCATACATTATATTCCTTATTATACATATGTATAAACATTTTATAATAAAATATAAATAACATGGGCAGAAAACAATTTGTAAAAAATTATGATTTATTGATGTTTTTTCACAAATTGTATTTAATGTTAAACAAAATCAGCAATTTTATTACAGTACATATAAACGTCTGTTGTGTACAATGGTAGTAAATGAAATTTTTTCAATTCTATTCGTATGGAAAATTTATGTGATGTATTATTTTTTACATAGATTATTTTAATTCTTTGTGGTCACATTTCGTAGAAGATATTATGAATTTGTAAAAATAGCTAAGTATTTGTTAAAACGTACGTTTTATGGAGTAATTATGAAGTTTGTCAATTCACATTCTTACGACAACTATATTGCAGTATTTTTGTCCGTAATTACTCAAATGAGCATTTTATAAGTTGTTCTTCGCTAAATTTGTTACTTACAGAGAGATTTAATAATTTTTGTTATAAAATTGTTACAAATGTGATACCGCATGTGATTCCTATCTATTTCTCTTTAAATAACATATATATACATACATATTAATATAATTCAGTCATCAGAACCACCTGTTCGTTTTGCTCTTCGCTGCCTGGGGCTCTGTTTCGGAGTTCTTGGAGATTTGTCTGCAAAAAAATGTAAATAATGTCATAATTGTTAAAATAATAGAATGGTGATAATATAAAATAATACGTACTAAGTCGGTTCAAAGTTTCTTTAGGTATCCAGTCATAATCTACATTGTTAGGATTAGATGTACCCATTTCCATAGGTATTTTACGAGAGGTAGAAGATCGAGATTTACGACCAAAAGATGAAAGAAGTTGTTGTCCTCCAACAAGTGTAAGTATTACACATGCAGCAAGAAATACGTACAAGAAAACTGTTTCCCCATCAAGACCATCATCTAATTCTATAATTTGTACTGTTTCATTGTAAACAGCTTCACTGAAATTGATGCCATTCTGTAAAATTATATGCTATTAATATCTTAAAATAATATTTTTTAAATATATGTTGTTTACTACATACAGCATCTCTATAGTTCAAATTAATATTGAAACCAAAGGGTCTTCCAGCAAGGTTCTCTGATGGAATGAATGAATATGCTAAAGTCGCCTCTTGCTTCGGTTTCACAATTTTATTGTATGTAACAGTTGAAAAGTTCTGAATGTAGAAATTAAAATCCATTGCATAACGGAAAGAGGCATCCAATGATTCAAGAACAAAATCAGATTCACCTTTATTGGTAAAACCAATAAGCAACTCTACCAAATTTCCAGCTGGTAGTTCTGAAAGAAGTAATTTATCATTACAATGACTGTTTAAAGATTAATAAAATGTAATCTTAAGTTGAAGAAACTATATGAATATATACCTAATATCGATAATCCATTATAAACAGGTTTAGTAAACAATATAGTAGTATCAGCATCTGACGATGCAGTAGTTGTTTCTTCTTCTGGTTCTTCATCTGTTATTACAGAATTATCTTCACCTTCAACATCTACTATATCGTCTATATTTTCATCTTCTTGAGCATGAACTGTAAGAAAAACGAAAATTGTAAGTATTTACTTACATAATATAACTTTCTAATACACTGTATTTTAATTAAAAATGAACAATGCTTTTTAAACATAATGCATATCCACGACTTAATATTAATTATCTGAAATTACAATTTTATTTCATGAATAATAGTCATTTTTCAATGGAAAATTTATTTAATAACGCCAAAGAATTCGACAAATGAGAAAATTAATTTATTAATCCGAATGTATATTGTGCACATGTGTCAGAAATACAAATGATAAAACTAAAAACATGTTTCATATAGCATTCTTTATTGTGTATTACCTCTGTTCACAGTGAGAATAATAGGTGAAATTAATAGTAACAAAAAAATGCTAAAGTTTTTCATTTTGTTTTGTTCTGTTTGAAATAATTTTTCTGTTATAAATACAGATTTTTCTCACTTTCCAACCACTCACTTCAATACCGACACCGAACTATACGCTTCGACATAATACAACAGCCTACCATTGCTGCTTGCGACGTGGAAGGTCAGCGGCGTAGTCGTCAATTCTACAACGTGGAACGTCAACGTTGGCACCGAATAGTGATATAAGGATAATTTTGTCATACCAACTTTATACAATAGAATACTAGTTTATTTAAATTTTTAGTTTTAAAATAGTGATGTAGAAAGGTTAGCTCTTCGCGAGGGGAAAAACTTCAGAGAATTCGCGAGCTCTTAATTCGACGACCCTATTCGATGTTATATTATAGAAAATGGACATGAATCAACTAAGAAATTAACCATTTTCGTCATTGGAGAAAATGTTCTTATGAATAGCAACGAAAATATTAATGTAATAATTTTGTTGATTTATTCATAGAAGACTGTTTCCCTAGACATGCGTGGGTATTTACTGATAATTGATTCTCAAAAAAAAGGAAAGCATCGAGTTTCACCTCTCCATAAGTTTTCTATATTCTTTACATATATTCATTAAACCTACCTGTCAGAGTTTACATGTAACTGTCATCTCTCCACAATTCCACTGACAGATAACCTCAATGTATTTTTCTTTTGAGGATTAAAAAGCAGGTACTTATAATATGTATCAATTTCATGTTTAATGCTGCATCCTGAAATATTACATATATCGTATTTCATATAAATTGTTATTAAGAGTATATTTTTTTTAATTCATTACTTAACTACTTTTGCTTGGTTATTGATACAGATAAAGTTTAACTGATTAATTATTGTTAGTATTACAGATTTCAAATATGGATTACGAAGATGATTTCTTCTTTGAAGAGGATAAAATGTTGGTTTTATAAAATTCTTTTTATCATTATTGATATGTGTCACATTCCAATTTAAATGTGCTTCTATTTTCTGATATCATGCATGTCTGTATGCCGCGGTGCGGTGGAGTAGTTTGAAGGATCAAGCAGTTTTATCTGCAAATATAGAAACTTCGAAAGTATTGGATGAAAAGTTTCAGGAGAATTGTCTTGTTTCGTTGACCACCGTGCCATTGGCTAATGTGCAATCAAATCAGTGTACAATGATGGAAGATCGCATGTATGCATTGATATGTTTTACTATTTTATCCTCTACTTAAGTTTTTCATACATCTATTTATACATCTAATACACACTTTTGAAATTCTATCAATTTCACATTTTTTTTTCTTATTACTATGAAATAGACCAGATGTAGAACTGGTCTCTCAAGATCAATCTCTTTATCAGCTACACAACTGTGCAATGTAAGTTGTAATGATAATGTGCATGCAGTTAGTTTCACTTAAAAAATCATTATAATCTATGTTTTAGCTATTTTTAATATATTATATTCAGTAGTAGTATAATTTAATATTCTTTATTAGACTACCAATAAGCACTTAGTTGTAAAAAAAACTTGAAAAGAGGTAAGAATTTTTCAGTTAATTGTTTGTTAAATTCGTATTCCTCAATCTTCCCATACATTTAAAAAGTAATCATTCACAATTTATTTATCAAAGATTTTAATTGCTAATAGTATTTATTATTAATATATAATTTTTTTTAATTTAATTTAATTTCAAGTTGTGTATAATATTTTATTTGAAGTTTGTAATTCGTCTTTACTACTATGTAAATATACACATATATATCAATACATTAGTCATATTATTAGTTAGTATTATAAACATGTTTACTATATTGTCTCGTGTACTTATTCAAAAGTTGTATGTTTTTTTATTTAAAACGCATAATAAGTTCAATGATGTTTGATAAACATTTGTCGTTATGTTATTTTATACAGGGGTATGACAATTACTTCTGGCAATGTTGTAATTCAGAAGGACAGCAGTAATCTCATAGGCATTAGCATTGGAGGTGGAGCACCTCAGTGTCGTTGCTTGTACATTGTGCAAATATTTGATGATACACCTGCAGCAATAGATGGTACTCTACAATCAGGAGATGAACTTGTGGCGGTAAATGGGGTTTCAGTTAGAGGAAAAACAAAAGTAGAAGTTGCAAAAATGATACAATCATGTGACTCTCAAGTCAGCATTAATTATAACAAATTACATGCTGATCCTAAACAAGGTCGAACACTTGATATAGCTCTAAAAAAGGTTTATATAACACTTAATTACTTATTTATTAGAAATAATTCAATCAATATTGTTATAAATAGATAAATCAAATTTTAGGTAAAACATAGATTGGTTGAAGGAATGGGAAGTGCAACGGCTGATGCACTTGGATTATCACATGCTATTCTTTGTAATGATGCGCTTGTACAAAGATTAATGGCACTCCAGCGTACAGAATATCTATACAGAGGTCTAGTTTCTCATGCTCAATCTACATTGTATGCATTCTTCGACTTAACACAAATATACAAAGGTATATGAAAATTGAAAATTTGTATACATATTATTTAGTTAAAAAAAATATTAACTTTTTTTTTATGAATTGTATGTAATTTATATATGCTCTAGTATTTGGAGACGCATTTGCTGCAATAGGAGTGAGAGAACCGCAACCACGAGCTAGTGAAGCTTTCAGGCAATTTGGTGAACAGCATAGACAAATGGAAAAGTTTGGAGTAACAATGTTAAAGTCGTTAAAACCTATATTAAATGATCTAGGCACTTACCTTCATAAAGCTATTCCAGATACTCGGTTAACTATCAGTAAATATGCTGATGCAAAGTTTGAATATCTTTCGTATTGTTTGAAAGTGAAAGAATTAGATGATGAAGAACAAAGTTGCGCAGCGTTACAAGAACCTCTGTATCGAATGGAAACAGGCAATTACGAATATCGATTAGTGTTAAGATGTCGGCAAGAAGCTCGAGCAAAGTTTGCAAAACTTAGATCGGACGTACTTGTAAAACTTGAATTATTAGATAATAAACACGTTCAAGATGTTGTATGGCAATTACAAAAATTTGCGGCTGGTTTAGGAAAATATTATTCCAATATGAGAGATCTGTTATCCGCAGTAACGCTATTTCCTGTAGAAGTCGACTTATCACACTCCGCGTTTCAGTATAAATCTACTGGACCTCAAATGATAACTGATGGTGAAGACATAGATGAATTTGAATCCGACGAAAAATCAAATAACGAAGAGCTTCTTATAGATACACAAAACTTTACTGATACACTTATTACATCAGAATCAGATAATATGTAGCATTATGAGCTTTATTCTTAAAAAGGTCTTTAAACCATTTACTGTTTTAAGTTTTTATAAAACAATAATTAGCGCCATATAAAACTTTCGGTATAATGCATTTTATGTTATCATATCTTGTGCAACTCTTTAAGTTTACTTTCACTACTTTTCATAATACAAAGATTGATACCAAAGATCATTATTTTTAAAAGATATATATTTATAATAGATGTATATAAAAAGTTTATGCATGTATTATGCTTAACATATAAGTTAATTACATGTTATAGTAATAATAATAAGAACTATAAAGTGAGGAAGTGCATTTATTAAATTTTTAATTCTTAGAAAAAATATGTGAAATAAAAAGTTCTGTAAATATAAAGTGTGCAAGTTATTTGAGAATACTGTCTTCATTTTGTCTGTATTTTCATATTTAAATAAGAGTAAATTATACAACGATTATATGGGATTTTAAACAGAAAATTTTTTTTTTAAACAATTTTGTATGTATATAATTTTATATACGTATATTATTAATTTGTATGTAGATATTATAATATATATTATACACTATTTTTGCGAATATATCATAAATACTAAAGTAGTAACTGTCTTTATAATGATATGCGTTTAACTAATTACACATTGATGAAATAATAAAAAATTTCATCCGTGAGAAGCTTGTGCGTGTGTATATATGAATAAGTGTAAGTAGTTAGTGCGACGGACCTCAGTAGTGTTAAATTCTGATTTGAACGTGTAGGTTTCGAAATGGCTTTGTTGACAGATCCAGGGGCAGGGTCAGGAAAAATAATAAAATTTTTATTAAGATGGGAACGTCCGCTCTGTTTTCTTTTTTATATCAGTGGAATTATTTGGTTGTTACTTCTTGCCTTACCAACATTTAATGACAGTAAGTATTATTTTATATTATTATTGTTTAAATCAACAATGTTAGGTTATGTTTCTATGTATTAGTATCAAAGAATTAGCAGTTTTCGAATAAAGTACATATTTTAATATTATACTTTTGTTACAATTGTAATATACAAAAAGATAAATCGCATATTTATGTTAAAATCACGCATAATACAAATGATTTTTTCAACATTTTATGGTAATCGTACTTTTCCCTCCATTAAAGTATAAAATTTATTAATTAACAACTTTAAATGATATTTACAAGTATGTTTAACAATTTCAGATACTTATTTCTCAGAGAATGCATTGTTACCAGGATTAGTTACTAAAGAAAGTAATTTGGAACAAACATCAAAACATTATTATCGCGAATTGATTCATGAAATGAAACGTTATCCTGATACAATGCCATATGCTTGGCTGGCAGCTAAATTAAATCAGCTTCAGTTGGATGTCTACGTACACAATTTCTCATTAATAAATCCATTTCAAGAACAAAAAGTAAATATAAAATAAATTTTTCTATTAATCATATTTAAGAATCATTTAATTTCTTTACATCATTAGAAATATATTTATATATAAATATATTAATTAAATGTAGTTAGTTAAAAATGACTAATAAAAATAAGTTAAATAAAATTTGTCTGTAGTTTACAGGACAAAATATATATGGAATTATAAGAGCTCCAAGAGCAGCAAGTACAGAAGCGATTATAGTTAGTGTACCTTTTAGACCAGTAAATAGCATTTATTTAGACACTGCTCCCTCTATTGCTCTCCTTCTTGCATTTGCCAAATTTTGTAGAAGTAAGTAACTTTAATGTTACAAAATAAATAGGATAATAATGGATAATATACAGGATAATAACTTCCTTATCATTTTAGAACAGAAGTATTGGGCAAAGGATATTATATTTTTAATAACAGAACATGAACAATTAGGCATACAAGCTTGGTTAGATGCATATCATGGAGTAACAAGTGGTAATGAAGGTGTACTTATACCAGGAGACCTTGCTGGTCGTGCTGGTTCCATACAAGCTGCTATTAATTTAGAATTACATTCTATGAAAATTTCATCCATTGATGTTAAGGTATATTATACATTTATTCAATTCTCTCATTTAAATGTTTTATCGAGTACATACTGTTATTACTAAATTCATGCAGGTAGAAGGATTGAATGGACGCCTACCCAATTTGGATCTTTTTAATCTAGCACAGAATATGATTGCTAAAGGAGGAATCAGACATTCGTTTCAAAAACGTTTTGATGTTAAATACAAAAACAAATTTAAAAACTGGTGTTATCATTTTAATACCCTTCTCGCAATGATAGGTACGCAAGCTACTGGGATTCCAACTGGTAATCATGGACTATTCCACAGGTATTGACAGAAATAATATTTCTTACTATATTTCTTATTATAAGTGCATAATGCTTGTATAATATTGTAATGTAATTTAATGTTCTTGAATACTTTTTATCGAATGATAATACTACCAAAGGTTTGGAATTGAAGCAATTACTTTGGAAGGTTTCGAGAAACCAGAACAACAGAACTCCGATGAAAATTTTTATCAAGTTGGTCGTATAGTAGAAAGTATAATTCGGTCGCTAAATAATTTATTAGAACGTTTTCATCAGTCTTACTTTTTCTATTTACTTCCATCCACTGATACATATATTTCTATTGGTAAGTAGAGTTTTGTATCTAAGTAGATATGAAAAATAAATTTTTAAATAATTTCCTTTTTAGAAAAATGTTTCATTTTTTCATTTTAGGTCTGTATATACGATCCTTAGTTTTAATTATTGCTGGAGTGTTTATAAAAGCATTTTCCATATGGCAAAGGCTTCAAGTGTCCCCTCCTATAGAGAATAAGAAGAGTGCTACTACTACTATTACCAAACATTTAAAGGTTTGTTATTTTCATTACGTTTATCTTATACAAATAATGAATATATTATTTACTGAAAATTAAATATGGAGATATGTACATGTCTTATTTATCTAAGATTACCAAAATATCTTGGAAAATATAAATAATATAAAAAAATATTTTAAATAAAAGTTATAATGGGACAAGTAAGTACTTACATTGATTACATTTAAATATTTTAACATGGTCTTTACAGACATACTTCAAAGTTGATATCAGACCAAACACGCATCATCGTTACATATGTCTCGCTATACCTTACAAACTTCTTTTTCAAAAAAACATTTTGTTGTGTCATTCGTACATAAATATTTTGGGGTTCTCAAATAAAAAGAACATATTATATATGATTAAACGTAGCTTGTTATATTATTTTTTATAATATTTATATAATAATTTTTGTATATTAAAATATTTATAAATTAAAAAGAGACTGCTAACGTAATATATTTTATAGAAAGATGGATTTGATATTGGAATTATAACTTCCGAAATATTATGGGCGCATATTTTTGGAGTAATAATTGCTTCATCACCAGGCGTATTAACATATATTGGTAGAAAGACATGGAATCTTCGTACAGAAGATTCTATATATTTTGGTTTTACAGCAATAACTATGTTAACTTTAATGTGGCCACTTTATCCTAAAAGGTAATTAGAATGTTAATTGCAATGTTATTTTATTAATGGTTTTGTTTATTAACATTTCTATTGTTAAGCCTTATTTATTTCTAGGCAAATGAAATATAAAAATGCAGCTTTAATTTGTGTAATTGCATCAGTAGAATTAGCTACTGTATTAATGTGCGTAGCTATGCACAATTTTTCTTTAGCCCTTATTGTGGCTGTAGTTTATGTACCTGTGATTTTACCAGTTACACCAAAGCAAAAATCCAATAGCAAGTAAGTGTATTTGTAAAATAACTTTCTTACTACTTTTTCATGAATAAAATTGTTACATTATACAAAATTACATTTTATACTTCAAGTTATAATCTGTCTCAAAAGAACACTTTTATGCTATGATTTTGTTTCAGATGTCGCAGTTTACTTTCATTTTTTTGGGTACTTTTACATCCATTTGTGATCTCGAGTCTTCTCATAATATGCTATACATACATAAACTTCGCTACAGATCCATTTCTTTCAATTTTGTTTCGTGGGTACCGTGCCACGAAGCAAGCATATGTATTCAGTATTATGGACTCAATGATATATGGAAACTGGTTTTACAATGTAACAGTTTCTACGATGCTTCCCATTTGGCTTTTGTTCTGGAATATCTTGTGTTCAAATAGTATAATGCATGCATAATATGTATAAATTATTTTTCATTACAAGAAAACTAATCATTACAATTTCATGTATTATTATCGGCTCTCATAATATTAAATAGATGAGTGTTTCTTATTGGAAGAAAGTTATTAGGTTTAATGATACACTCATCCCTCAATTTATGCGAAGTATCTATTCAACATAGATTCGTTTTACGTAAATGAAAATCATGTAAATAAAGTTTGTCAGTACAAAAAAAAATATTGAAAATAAAAACTAATACATGTAAGTTTTAAAAATACATATTTATTTCAAATAGCTTAACAAAAAAAATGACATAAAAAATGTCGCATAAATTGAGAGATAGGAGTACTTGTTTTAGTGGAGCAGTAGTAAAATTCAAATTATATAGAAAACATAAGCATACTTTTTACCCTTCAAAGATACACAAAATTGTGAAACATTCTATACAATTATTACATTAAATATTAAACAAAATTTTAATATCCTATAGAGTATTTACAGTCACTGTAATTATAATTTGTATACTTATTATAGATGAACATTCATATTCATTATTTTTTACATATTGTATAATTATAATGTGAATTCAAGATACAAAGAAATACCCTATTTGTAAAACAAAATAATATATCATAATTCTTATGTTAAAAGTAATAAACTTTTTATATTATTTATTTTTTCGTTTCAT